GATTTCAAAAAGTCAAATCACCTTTTATTACATAAGGGAAGAATTTTTCAGAAATCTGTGAATACAAGTTGGAAGAAACATTTAATAATAATATGAATTATCAAGTGAGTAGACAGACTGGCAATCCCATGTGATTTTATGCAAAGGAGTATTTGATTCACTTTTAGCTTGTGTATCTGATCCACAAGAAGAGACAATCTGAACACAAAATTTATTGACTGGATGGCTTGCTACAAAAAATATTTTTGCATTGTTTTTAAGTGAATTTTCAAGAATGATAACTTCATTTGCTAATATTACAGTCTTATTTGTATCTGCTTGTTGGGTGAGTCCACATAAATAACACTTAAGAAAAATGGTAGACTTGAGCATTCATAAAGTGCCTCTTTGAAAACCATTTTACATCATGGCAGTGCTTGATTTTTTGCTAATTTTAAGAATACTTGTTTAGCTTTTTAGACAACTACAGTGCGCAGTAACACAGTGTAATTCAGTAACACAGAATTATATGATTCTGTGTCTTCTGTGCTAGCTTTCATCTAGCTAAATACAAATTCTACTCTACTTTTCTGGACAACTTGATATACCTTGTATAGGTCTTTAGCACATATGCATGCTAACTGGCTAAACAGATTTATATTTTAATCTGTACCCCTTCTCCAGAAGATGAGCTTTGAAAAAGACAGCAAAAAAAATAAACCAGATATGTGTATCTTACTGGTGATCTATGACCTTTTCCTAGTGTTATTTTTCAAGTTCACTGTTACAGATAAAAGCAATTCAAGGCTACTGTCTAATCATTATTTTTAGATTCATCAGATGCTAGCATTGATACCAGCTAAGAGTATTTTTGGAATGTTTAGTGCCATTAGGATATTAAACTTCAACATAATGAATTTTGGATATTAACAAGCTCATCTGCTTATAACTCTTACCACTAACAAGCTCAGTTCATGGAAAACAATTCCCTAAATATCAGAAATTCTTTACCTTTTTTTTCCCCCCAAAGCTTCAAGACCTGTAAAGAAAAAGGATATTAATAGAAAACTGTTCAAACAACATACCTGTCATCTCAAATGATCTGCAACCCTTCACTCCTTTATTAAAGGAAAAACTGAATTATCTGCAAAGTTCAGACTTTATGATAAGCACTGATATTTTAATTTTTCTCTCATCATATCCAAATGATAATATTACTGTCACTTTACCAGTATATTTTTCTGATATCCTAGAAACCTTCCATGAATTCTTCTAATAGTAGCAAAAAATGCTTGGGCAAAAAGATACACTTGATGGTCACCGTGTGTGCTCAAATTAATTTTTTTCAGAAAGGAATTTCAAGTGGCCATATTGTCACTGAAAAATAATAAGATAACAAACGCTTAGCTTGACATATTTATTTTTCAAGGGCAATAAATAAATGTAAATACACAAATTTGGAAAAATCTTAGTAACAGAATGTTTTTAAACAACATTCTGGCTTAAAGTCTTTGTTATTGACACTATTATATTGAAATATTTTCTGTTCTGCTTAAAGTAGACAAGTCGTCATGTTGGTGATCCTCCTTTACATTAATTTGTTGAAGTTAGGCTGCTGCAAAAGGAAAAAGAAGTCACCCTTGGCTTTGACAGAGCAAGTTATCTAAACTGCATATATTAAGTATTAAAATGACTTTTCTGGGCATGACTTCTCTAGAGAATATAGAGAAATTTGTGGGTTTTTTTTTTAATTAAACATCTTCTATCATTCATTACTTTGTTATTATAAAAAGGAAATGGTAACAAAAGTGAAAAAGAAAAGAAAAAAAGGCGTGAAAAAAGTGAACCAGACTGGCCCTTTAGTTAGTATAAGACTAATTGCTTTCTTTAGCAGTCTAATTCTCATTCTCAGTTTGTAACAGATTTGTGTGACGATCGATTCCAGTCACAGTGGCAAGTCTGCTTGAAAATTTTAAAGCAGCTTTTTACCTGTGGTCTTCTGTTCAGACATCAAGAATTCCTAACTCTCTTCCAGACGTTCTCAAACACCCATTAACTAGGAATGTCATATTCCAGCTGGCTGCCTTGGCTGTCCCAGACTAGCGTATACTAATGCACTTACCCAGGCCTAGAGCATGAATCAGAACTTGTCCAGGAGAAGCAGCCGTTTTCAAAAGTATCTACAAATTGCTAAATATAAATTTTATCAAAAAGGTTCAGCAAGAAGGTAATTGTAACTGACTGAATGGATGTGGAGAGGGGGAGTGTGGTTCCCTCAGAATTCAGGAAATACTCTGTTTCTGTGTTCTATAAATACTACAAGATGCAACATGTTTATTTGGTTCCCATAAATTAGAAAAATCTGGTTTCTACAGAAGTTTCCCCAAAACTCTAAATTAGTGATTTAAAAAATAAAATATTACACCTGACTACCTTTCCAAGCAATCTTGGAGAGCAGCCTAGCTTCTCTCTCACCCTTCAAAAGTGTGCTTTTTAAGAATACATGATTTAGAAAACAAAAATGTATATTTAACTACAGTACACTTGCTTAAATATACAAGTGGACACATTAACATCATGTTAAAGATCAAGGTACTTCTGGAAAAAAGGCAGATAGTTATTTGAATTCTGCATTCTTATATAGAATAAGGATTATTATAGACCTTAGTTTCCTCTCATCATTAACTTATCATATGGAGAGGTCAATAAATAACTTATCTGGTCCAGTTTACCTACAAGAGAAAAAAATACTAAAAGAAAAAAATATCCTCTATAAAATTATTTGTATAACCCTGATAACATCTGAGTTTCCATACCCAGGTTTAATTGCAAGAAAAGCAAATAATATTCATCTTGCTCATCAATAAACGCCCCGTTTTCTTTAACACATACTTTTAGTATGACACCTACCAAATCGCAGGTTCGTGAAGCAAGATAAAGCTGGGGGTGCAATAATACCACTGATAGTATAAATCTTGGTTTAAAATCCAAACATACCAGATCCAGAAGCAAAGAAACCTGGACACGCTGAGGAGGCAGTGCCCAGCTGTTCATTGGGCTCTTGTGTTATGAATACCCAGCGTAAGGTATAGTTTCATACCATTAAAGTAACAGGATTCTGTTGTGCTAAAATACAGACTTCCGGAAGGAGTCTGACACAAAACCAATTACTTCCTTTGTTTAGAGTAGAAGATAAAATAGCTTACTAACTGATGCAATGAGTAACGCATGTCACTATGACACAAAACTTGCCATGATTTGTGTGTTCAGCTACAAGGTGCAATATTTCTTATGACTAACTCAAAGCACAGCCGCATCCAACTGTGATTTGGAATTCCATCTCAAGCAGCACGCTCTATGACTTTGAAGAAAGTCTGTATGATTGTAACAAAGTCACCCATCCTCTCCTGAAACGTGAACAAAATCCATGGGGTAATCAGGCACAGGCGGCATGTAACGGGTTTGTCTTCCTTTTTACTCCTTGTTTTTGCTTCTGAGGACATGCACGTGGCTCCAGACTAAATCCACTTCCTGTTACAAGAGAACACAGCTGTTCTTCTCTTTTTCTCTCTCCTTCTCTCGAGGCTCTTTGCGTTTGCGTTCACTATTCCCAGATTGTCTTCCACTTGCTGGAGAAGCAGCACCTTGCACCTGCTACATGGGGAGTGGCAAATAATGCAAGAATATTAGCTGATAGTCCAGTACTATTTATAGGCAAGTAAAGTAAGGCCAAAAAAAGAAAAAAAATACAAGCAAATGTTAGAGCAGAATCTCCAGTTATGGCAGTTGAGTTCAGACAATGCCCTCAGAAGAGATTTATACTGGTATGTATTTTTAACCTTTTTTCTTCAAAGTAAAAGAGCTCTTCTTGATTTTAATTTGCTGTCACCTCTTGTTCTTGCACGTTTGTGAATAAGGTTTAGCGTGACATTTCTCTCTTACCGATTCATGCATTTATAGGCTAAAAGTCAAAGTGAAGCACAGAATGAAAAATGGCGTAATGTAGGTAAAGAAAATATAAATAACAGGGCTTATTCAATGATAGAGCAAGCTTTATTTTTGTCTGAAATATTAAGCACAGTTATGTATCTACAAAATGATCAAAATATTTGAAAAAATCAGTTTATTTATTGAGAGTGATAGAAACTGAACTGGAATCTAAGAAAATTTTTACTGGTGTTGAAAGAATTTTGAAATATGTAAATTCAGTCTTTACCAGAGATGAATAATAATAATAAAATCTAACTACATACCTGCTAATGTCAAATCACTTAAAAATTAGATTTGTTTGGTTTAGTTTAGTATTGTTCATGTTTCAGGTGTGCTTTCTGTTCTTTCTCAAAACATTATTTAAAACATACAGTATTACTTTCTTCCAGCATAATCTCTTTAACCATAATCACTGTAGCCCTAACTCATCCTGTCATTCCAACCTAAACAGTATGAATGAGCTCTTGATGTAGAAGGCTAGGCAGACTTTTATTTATGTGGCAGGAACCAGGTGCTGCATGCCAACTACACCAGTAACAGCAATATTAAAATTCCTGTATGCATCCCGTCACTCATAGTATGAGAACGTGAATAGTATCATTATATCTGTCTGAAATACCAATGAAGGTAGATTTGCCTATGTAACTAATAAGTTAATACTCACTAAAGCTGGTAGTCATAATCTGCAATAGTGTTCTCTTACCTGGACTTGAGCGGCTGCTTGTTCCTGTTCCTGGTAGAACTGAGAAGCTCGTCTGTCCTCCTCTTCCTGGAGCTTCTTTGCTAGCTCCAGATCACTGATTCCTTCTGGGATTTGTTCCCAGTTAATCTCTTGATTTTGCTGCTCTTGTTGTAGTGACAATGCCATCAGATAATCCTAGGCAGTAAACGCATATAATGGCACTACGCATCACAAACAGGACAGGTTTGCATCACAAAAGGGAGAGGTTTCACTATGCTATTCTGTTTCCATGTAAAAGGCAATGCAATTAACATTTCACCTGAATAAATTTTTGGAAAAATGGATTCACGGAGACTAAGGCTGGATTTTTCCAACCTATTTGGGCTTGGGCTCACTCTTTTCCTTAAAGTCATGACAATACTTGAAAGGAGCACTTTTGAGAATCTCACCCTAAGGATCTAAAGACTTTTTTTATAGTCATATATACACACATCGATAAATATACACACACACACACACACACACATGCCCCTCAAAATAAACAGTAGTTGTTATATATAGTCACAACCAAATAGAGAAAATACAGCAGAAACACAGGAATACACTACCTGATCTATCTGATCCTGTTGCCCTCTGTAGACAGTTTCAGGGTCTGATGGTGGCCGTAGGTGGAATTCAGAATCACAGAAATTTCCATCACCATCCACATTGTGTAAGCTTTCCCAAACAACTTTCTCTTCTGTAAGAAAACCCTGGTCTGTCACCAGCAGGTAAAGCTGACCCTATGCAGAAGAATAAGGAAAACCTTGTAGGAATCATTTTTATTAG